TGATTTGTATTGTGAAAGAAAGAGAGACACACACACACACACACACACACACACACACACACACACACACACACACACACACACACACACACACACACACACTCACTCACCTACTGGTATTTCTGTCATTATGGGGACATTCTATAGGCATAATGGTTTTTCTACTGTACAAACAGTATTTTCTATCCCCCTACCATATACATACCCCTCACACAAAATTCTTCTATGATTATCGGATAATCGGTATGATTTATGAACTGTTTTCCTCATGGGGACCCCACAAAAAAATGTCAGGGAACTTAAAGGGACATTTGGTCCCTGTAACGTAGTGAATACCAGCACACACACACACACACACACACGCACACGGACTCTCACACACACACACACACACACACACACATTTACTTAGCATTTACACATTTACTTCCCCCATCTAAATGGGGACATTACATAGACTTCTATTGTTTTATATACAGATAGTTACTTTTTCTAACCTAAACCTAACCCTACAGAAAACTATCTGCATTTTTAGCATTTCAAAAAATTGTATTTACTTTATTTTTTATACCAGTTTTACAAATGAGGACGTCCCCAAAGGGAAGTTTTTTGTTAATATTCTCAGGTTTTGTTCACTTTTGGGTACAAACACACACACACACACACACACATTTACTTAGCATTTACACATTTACTTCCCCCATCTAAATGGGGACATTACATAGACTTCTATTGTTTTATATACAGATAGTTACTTTTTCTAACCTAAACCTAACCCTACAGAAAACTATCTGCATTTTTAGCATTTCAAAAAATTGTGTTTACTTTATTTTTTATACCAGTTTTACAAATGAGGACGTCCCCAAAGGGAAGTTTTTTGTTAATATTCTCAGGTTTTGTTCACTTTTGGGTACAAACACACACACACACACACAACTAATCTGTATATAAGATGTTAGGTCTAATGTAGTTTTTAATTCAGAATGAATTTCAAAATAAATTACTATGTAATATATTCCTTATTGATTTGATTAATTATTAGTAATAATATTTACTATTATAAAATGCTCTTTATACACGCACACACGAACTGGAAATGTGTGGGAATAAACTAACATGTAAAACAAATCAGAAAAAAACAAATGTTTCTTCTTTACTTTAAATGACCACTTGAGGGAGCTACGCTAATAGAATAATCAATGGACGCCATCAGACAATGTTCTACAGGTGAATTGATGTTAAATTATTTCTCCTTTTCTACCCTATTGTGTAGTCATCTATAATTATACCAGTAGTAGTTTGATTCCCTTAAAATCTCCCATAACCAGAGTGGATCTGTGTGGTGATATTTCCACAGAGGGACAAGCTAATTTTAAAAGAGTTTGCATGCTCCTTGCATGCAGTAAATCTGTTTAGGCCTGGTTGGTGTTTACTAATAGAGTTAAAAAAATAGTCATGGTTAAGAATAAGCTTGAATATGCTAACCAGCCCGACAAAAAAAAAAAAAAAAGCTATTTTTTTTTTTGCACTTCCGTTTGGTGGCGCTAATGGTTCAGAAATGTATAGGCCTATAAACGTTTGCAGAATTCTATAACATTTTACATTATTATTTACATTATTTGTCGTTTAAAGATCAAAAGAGAGCATCAAATGTTTATTTGGGGAAATTAATCACCTACATTTACTGTGCATATTTTTGGTATTAGGGAAATCTGCCTTTTCTTGAATTCAATTTTATTTTCTTGTCAGGATAAATTAGATGGTGTGCCTACTTTTCACTGGAAATGTTTTCTGAGTGGCAGAAGAGGCCTTTTCACCCCCCTACAGAGCCACTTCCTGTTTCTTTTGGGTTGCATGAGTGTGTGTGTGTGTGTGTGTATGTGTGTGTGTGGAAGGGAGGTCAACAAGGGGCACCTGTAGCTTTTGGCACACTCCATCACTTTTGGGGCCCAAAGAGGAAAAGAAAGAAAGAAAACCTCCTAGATCTTTTCTCCTCCTTCAAACAATATCTACATTATTTAAAATGCTGTCACTGTTTTCCACATTCCATTAGGACTATGTGCTCATATGCAGTTTGGAATTTTTAGTCCCAGTTCAGAGGAACTCCATCTAAGTTTTACAGTAAGAATCAGCGTTAGACTGTTGTTGCCAAAGAGAAGAACCAGGGAGGGAAACAGCAGCTACCGTCAGACTAAACTCAGCACAGTCATTTATGTTCCGTCTTTTGTTTGTATGTTTCCCACTGGAGAATACCAGAGGGGCTTTCCAGTGGTGGTGACGTGCAGGGCAGCATCACTGTCTGGAGACCAGTTTATCAGTTTAATATAATAATAAAGGTAAGAATGACATCCATTCATTATTCAGCTGATCACAGGTCAGGGGATACATAAACCTGCATCGACTTCTGCACCTGTGTCCAAAACACGTTCAACCTGAAGCACACACTCCCTCTGAGACTGAAATCAGTTCCTGAAGCTCAAACAAGGCCATACTCGCAAAATGTTTACCCTGAATAGGCTTTAAATTGGATAGGCATCTGCCAAACGCGTAAAAATATAAACATGCTCCGAAAAAAAGGTACAAAAGCTGTCACTGGGACAGTACCTTTTGGGAAAGTACTATTGTGTACCATCGAGGCACTATTATGTAGATTATGTAACTTTACACTATTAATATTTACATTTTAAGGGTACCACTCCAGTGAAAGCTTTTCTACCTTTCTTTCTGAGAATGTATAAAGCTAATTATAATAATACAAATAGTAATACAATAATTAAGGAAAAATATTACTGGAATTATTTATGAATCAATGTCTGAAAATGTCCCCAGGGTGGTTTTGTCAGATTTAAAAATGTGTCCCTAAACTATAACTGCATAGAAACAGTATACTGTATATACAAACACTAGATGACTCACTGGATCAAACCCTTATTGATTTAAGAACCAACAGGTCAAATAAGCAATAAGACACATTCTCTTTCACACTAATATTCACTCCTGCAACTTTCTTTGAATCATACTGGCACCTTTGTCATTTCCACACACATTATTGCATTTGTTCCTACTTGCTTTCTTATACGTTCACGAACACTTCAGGTATATGTTCCATATTTAATTCTTTATTTTAAAAAAGAAGACTCTCACTAACACTCAAACTCATAAAAAAAAAATGAAATGTCTAAAATATCTGTTTACTTACTTAATGTTAAATATCTATGTGATGGAGACTTCTTGAAGTTGTCTTCCATCACTGTTTTTATTGTGTTCTTTACTGTTCTTGTGCTTTGTAATATTGATATTTCCTATTTAAGTAGGTATGGCCTTAAAGGAAGCACAAACTTGTGGAAAGCTCTCATTTTAGCTAATTTATGGGAATGTTTGTGCAAATGTTTGTCTTGGTTTTATCCATCCTTTTTATTGTATTTACCTATGCTGGATTCAACTCTTGTTCTTAATTATCTTATTTATATCTTAACTATCTTATGTTATACTTATCTATTAATCATATGGTGAGGCAAGAGTATATTTTATAAAATGGCATGTTCCAATCAGTAAGAGTGGAAAAGCTGTGTATGTAAGATGACTTTCACTAGTAGAAAGGGGAACTGGTACTGTTTTTAGTACCTGGCCATTTTAGTTTATTAGTAATAATCTTTGTTTTATGCTCTTAAACACATTTATTTGCACGTTTTGCACATCTGCTTTAAAAAGCACCTTTTTGGATGCCAACACGCCTCCCATGTTTACATCTTGATGTGATTCTCCTTGTAACAGCTTGGGTCCCTATCACAATCTAAAAATGTTATTTCTAAATTCTTTGTCATCCTGGATATCATATCACTGTGCACACAGTGAGCTCTGAGAATTACCATCATATATCACAATGATAGATAGGATCGGATTATAAATATTGCAGATTAATGATGAAGGTGTCTTTACTCTTGCACGGCGCGGGCGATAGTCAGGGCAGTGGAGCCCGTTTCATTCACACTCTCCAAGGTCACGTTGGGCAGGTCATCATCCTCGCTGTCACTCAAAGATCGCCGAGGCGACAGTCCATCTGCCATTCGGTGTGTGACTGGATAAAAACAGAAGGTTGGTGCAGTTGAATTTACAATACGTACAAATATCAAAATAAGTCCTCCAGAGTTAATCTACAATCTGCAAAATAAATAAATAAAAAAACAGTGTTGATTTTCTGTACTTGATTCAGAGCTTGTGCATGGCAATGTTTTTAACTGCTATGTACATAGGCTACATTTGAATTGATCAATAGATACAATGTACTATTGTGTACATGTTTTTAACATTGTACTAATATAAAAAAATACCTGCATGTAGTTACATATGTAACTAATTTCTGTTATGTCTATGAATACATGGGATTGACTCAGTTATGTGGACACTGGCTCTTCAGTATAATTCTATGGCCATAGCACTAAACCATTAAATGAAACTATTAAGATTCTAATCTAATGACATTTTGATTAATGTTCCAATAAAGGCTTTGGTGGACAACAGAGAGTTTCCTTAAAGAAATAGTTGAGCCATTAATTTATTCACCCTCACGTCCTTCCAAACCCATATACTGTTATTTTTTTTTCTTCCTTGAAACAATGTTTTAAAAGTATCTTCACAAAGACTTTCTTTTCTCTACAACAACAATTCATAGAGACCAATGGAAGCACCACTAAAGCATATGAAGTTATCTGTAGTCACGCAATACCTTTGTGTGATAAACAGATCAAAATATAAGCATAATTTTAATTGAATCAGTGTTGTTCTTGTAAACTAAAACCATAAAAAATAGTTTTCATTAATAGAAATAAAATATAAATATTAGATGGAAAACTTAAAAACACAAATGAGAAATGTTGGCCTGGCAACTACTGAAATAAAATAAGTTCAAGTTCTAAAATGACTAAAACTAACCCTTAAAGCTAAATAGAAATATTAACAAACACGAACAAATAAAAGGGAAATTGTACATTTTTATCTCACAATTCTGACTTTATTCCTCAAAATTGAGAGTTTATGTCATGGAATACTGATTTTATAACTCGCAACTGCAAGTTTATATCACGCAATTCTGAGAAAAAAAGTCAGAACTGCGAGTTTATAAATTGCAATTCTTAATTTAGAACTTGCAATTGTGAGTTTAAATCTCACAATTCTGAGAAAAAAAGTTAGACGTACGAGATGTAAACTCACAACTGTGAGAAAAAAGTCAGAATTGTGAGATAAAAAATTGCAATGACCTTTTCCTTATTTTTTACTCAGTGGAGGAAACTGGCTTCCATACTAGAGCGAAATTACTTAAACTAAAATTAAAATAAAAAATAAAAGCTAGAATACTAATAAATAGGGTACAACGGGGCTAAAGGCCCACCTTAAGAAAAAAATGGGGTAAAGACTCACGGTATTGATACAAATACTTCAGCTATAATAATGTTTTTTTTAATAATGTCTAAGTTAATACTTGTTCAAAACAATCACTTTAGCAAAGTTTGTACTATTTTCTGCTTATTTTGAAAAATAAAAGAATTATTTTTTTTCAATAAATTATTTTTGTCATTAAAATACTGTGTTAATATATATATATAAAAAAAAATTTAAATACAGAAACAAAATCGTTTTAATAAGTAAAGATTCTGAAAGTACTGAGAGAGTATAATTGAATAATAATTGAATATATATTTACAGTTGTAACAACAAATGATGATATAATTAATGGTTTCGTTCTAAACATGGTGATTATCTCTAATATGTACACCCAACATAATATATGATATTTACCATCTTAATCTAACCATGTCATGTCAACAAATAGAAAAGTCTGTTATCTAATAATTATCATGTTAATTACTTTGCACTGCTGCGCGCGATCGCATCAAAGATCAGACAAATATACACCTGCATCTTGAAAAGCGGATGTTTTGGAAAGTGCTACGCCACGTTTTTGTTCCATCTAGTGGTTTATAGATGAAAATAATAACAAAGGCACCTTTTACCCCGGGTCGCCTTTAGACCCGTTGTACCCTACTTATAATAGTATATAATAATACTAAAATAACACTGATTTACAGTTGATTAAACACTGATAATCGAATCCTCCCCTATCTAATCTTTGCAGTTTTGACGTCTTGATGTTTGGTTATTATATATATATATATCTCAAGAACTAATGATATTTTATGTTCTTGACATCCACACTTTGCCATTCGGATAATCCTCCCCTATCTAATCTTTGCAGTTTTGACGTCTTGATGTTTGGTTATTATATATATATATATATCTCAAGAACTAATGATATTTTATGTTCTTGACATCCACACTTTGCCATTCGGAATGACATTAACAGAACTAAAAATCTTTGAGTGAACTCATCTATTCCTAGCTCAAATGAATGACAGAATATAGTTCACTCTACTGTATTCTTGAAATAAGAGAGCTGGGCATGTTTGTATTGGTTTGTTTTGTTTTGTTTGGTTGTAATAGCAATTTCAAAGGACTCCGTTGTATTCGTGTCATTCCATGTCCCGTCTTGTTGCCATGGATACTTCATGAGAGACTGCAGAGCATAAGGGCACAGACCCTCAAGATAGGGGGCTGGTCTCTGTGTGTGAATCTTGAATGTTTTTAATGAACTGAAATTGGATCATCAAAGTGTGAACCGCACAGGCCTAATTATGTGTCAACCTGCTTGTTTGCACACACTGTGTGCTTCTGATGTATATAAATGCCCTTCTCTGATTGGTCAGCCTACAGCAGAAAGAGCCCTGAGACACAACACACTAATACAGGACATAAGAGAGAGTTCTGTCAGGACCACTATCGTCACAGATGATTGACAATTAGCATACAGTTTGGATTGGTGGTATGGTTCTGTTCTGGGCATGAACTCCCTGCGCCTCCATGCAGCTTAGCATGGATGAGAGCAGGGAGAGCTGCAATAACCCCCCAGGGTAAACAGAACAGAACTAACATAAATGTATTGCAGATATTGTTAAAGTTAAATCATTTTATGTACACATTTTAGAATTAGTCTGATTCAAGGAGAATAAGAAGACTGAATCCCGACTGACAGAGGAGGAGTTGGGGATGGAGGAGGGTAATTAGCTATTGAGCAATGCGAAAACTGCTGATAATACTGAGGGACCTTATATATGAATGCTTAGATAGGTGTCGTATTCCCATAGGTAGATGGGGATCAGCTGAAGGTCAGCTGATGCGAGCTTGACTAACGTGACCTGCCAGAACTAACGCTACGCTTGATTTATATGACATTGGACATCACCTCCCCCCAGAGGAAAAACAGGATGAAAAAAGAGTAAAAGAATAAATGGAAAGCCTTCCTAGCCATAGAGCCCATTAAAAACAGCTCTGTTGCCCAAAGGCAAGCTTTCCTAGATAGAAAAAAGGGGTTGAGTGTCTTTAAACATGCTTCTCATCACAGTTGCTATTGTGTATCTGCCATACGCTTGGTCACTAATAAACCCAGGTGCCCTTGTTTAGCTTAGTGGAGTTTTTGCCATAGCATCTACTTCCTGCGCTGATGTAGCGGCAGGAATATAAAGAGATGAGCACAATGGAGCTGCACTCATAAGAGCTGAGCCTGTCTAACACACAGCCAGGCTCTGGGTTCTGTCACTGACCCTGCCAAGAACACAGAAACTCCAAGAGAGGCTTTGAAACACAGTGCTTTGCACCTACGAACAAAGAGCTAGGAAAGTGGAGAGAGGAAGAGAGTGAAAGACTTTGCAGAAAGATGTTTTTTGCCACAATAGTGGCCTGGATGCTGTCAATTGACCTCACAACAGTGATTATTTAACTATGCAAAGTGCATAGTAAATTACTTCAATTGGAATGCAATGCAATGCAAAAAAAAAAGAGAGAAATCACAAGCTTTTGAAACAAGTCGTGTTGAAACACTAAAAATATCAGCAGAAGATACTGAAATTACAAGGGGAGATCAAATAAGTTGGACAGTCAACATTATACATATTGACATAAAAACAAAGGAAAACCATGTGAATGGACACTTTCGGTAGATACTGTTATTTTTTTTATAAACTGTATGTTTATGTACATGTATGTAGTCTTTGTATTTAATGCTAAAATGCTAAAATAAAATAAAATCACAGGACATTTACATGAACTGAGATACTATTGTAGTTTTATTAATGTATACATATAAATATAATATATAAATATATTTTTATATTTTCCATTTTTATTGGAATTTTAGTTAATGTTTTAGTAATTTTAGTAAATAGTTTTTTTTAATTGATTTTTATTTCTGTTTTAATTTGAGTTATTTTACTATATCATTTTTTTGGTAACACTTTAATTTAGGGACCAGTTCTCACTATTAACTAGTTGCTTATTAGCATATGACTTAACTACCTTACTACCTATTCATAAGCAGTAATTAGGAGTTTTTGAGACAAAAGTAATAGATAATGGTTTGTTAATAGCGAGAATTATTTGGACCTTAAAATAAAGTGTGATCTTTTTTTATTTCAATCAACATTTATTTTATTTCAAATAACAAACATGTTTTATTTTTCAATTAAAAAAAATTTAAACTGAAAGCATTGGATCTAAGTTATTCCCTGATCCAATACCTATCGAATTGCATGCACCATAACAACACCCTTTCACCATAATGTTGGGAATTTGAAAAAAGGAGGTTTGTATGTTACAGCCAGTTCAGTAGGTTTATTGGTCAAAATGGCAGACAACAACAAGGCTTATCAGCTCAGCAATTTCATTGGCTGTTTGAGCTGTCAGTCATTTATCTGTCATGAGGTCATTAAGACAACAGAGCTTCTGTCTCACCTTTCCTGTGCATCCTGTTTTCCTCCAGCAGCGGCATCATGAGCCTGCTGTTCCCCAGCGATCCCACTCCAGGGTAGACCAGCGGCATGGGCTGCACCACCACCGGCACCCGGCGTGGGTGGAGGTGGACCGGGCTGGAGCAAGGAGGCATCAGCTGGGGTATGTGCAAAAACGAATGCCCCCTGAGACTCCTGGACGGGGGAGAGGCCACCACTGGAGACATCTTCAAACGAGGAACAGGGGTTATAACTGAAGTGGAGGAGGATGAAAGCATAGATAATGATGATGGTGACTTGCTGGAAGGAGGGGAGCATGGACAAAATCGTATTGATGATGAGGATGACGAGGGAGACGAGGATAAAGATGAGGATGCTGAAAGTGACGGGGAGGTTCTGGCTCTGTTGGTGGATAGGTCCACGGGTTCTGTTTGCGTCTGGAAGGGGTCGGACAGGAATTGTCTATCATCTGTTGGTGTCCGAAATCTGTGGTTCAACACCAGAACGCCCATCTCTGTGTAGTCATGGATCACAGGAGACTGAGAAGAAAGAGACCAAATGAAATCAGTTAACTATTAATTACTATTACACTGAAACAGGAACATTCTAGGATTTCCTAGGATTTCAGTCTTAAAGGAACACTCCACTATTTTTTAAAATAGGCTCATTTTCCAACTCCCCTAGAGTTAAACAGTTGAGTTTTACCGTTTTCGAATCCATTCAGACAATCTCCGGGTCTGGCGGTAGCACTTTTAGCTGCAGCTTAGCATAGATAATTGAATCTGATTAGACCGTTAGCATCTCGCTCAAAAATGACCACAAAGAGTTTCGATATTTTTCCTATTTAAAACTAGACTCTTCTGTAGTTACATCGTGTACTAAGACCGACGGAAAATGAAAAGTTGCAATTTTCTAGGCCGATATGGCTAGGAACTATACTCTCATTCCGGCGTAATAATCAAGGAACTTTGCTGCCGTACTATGGGTGCAGCAGGCGCAATGATATTATGCAGTGCCTGAAAATAGGCTAACTTCCGCCAACATAACCTACGTGACCACCTGCTTGCACAGGGAGCGTGATGGGGACTATTTTCAGGCACTGCGTAATATCATTGCGCCTTACATTGTATGAGTCAAAATTATCGATTTTTCTTTTATGCCAAAAATCATTAGGATATTAAGTAAAGATCATGTTCCATGAAGATATTCTGTAAATTTCCTCCCGTAAATATATCAAAACTTAATTTTTGATTAGTAATATGCATTGTTAAGAACTTCATTTGGACAACTTTAAAGACGATTTTCTCAATATTTAGATTTTTTTGCACCCTCAGATTCCAGATTTTCAAATAGTTGTATCTCTCCCAAATATTGTCCTATTATTGTCCTATTGTCCTATTTCTACCTAACAAACCATACATCAATAGAAAGCTTTTTTATTCAACTTTCAGATGATGTAGAAATCTCAATTTCAAAAAATGACTGGTTTTGTGGTCCAGGGTCACATATGTGGTTTATAAATACTGTACTAATAAACAGCCAATGTGCTAGTAATATGCATGCTAATAAGTTAATAACTAGTTAATAGCGAGAATAGGTCCTTAAAATAAAGTGTTACCATAATATTTCACAATATTACTGTTTTTAATGTATTTATCAAATAAATGCAGCAAATGCCACTTATAACCAGGTCCATCACTGAATAGAAGAAATGATTACACTTAATGCATGCTTTCAATGAGTGGTAAAGAGAGATTTTGAGTGAAATAATCTATGATTGCCTATGCAGGTGGCTGAAATGAAAATCGGAGGGCTGAAGGACTGCAACACCTAAAGTATTGAGAGTGCTTGTTTATTATACAGGAGGAAAACACACCACAAAAGGTGCAGAGAAAAAGTGAAGAAAAAGCAGTCTTTCAGACATTTACTGACTCAGCTGTTATCCTAAATTAACATCAGTAAATCGACAAAACATTCCAGTCAAAGATGTCAGAAGCACTCACTCAGACTCAATGAAAGCATGGACAAAAAGTGGTCTGCTGGCAGCATTATTTCTAGCCCAGAAATTTCCCTTCTGTTTTTTTACTGTGGTTGATTTGGAGGCTGTTCAGCCGAAATGGAACATGTTTTGAAACTTCATCTCTACCCCGTTTCTGTCTCTCCCGACTCATGCTTCACCTTTCCCACCTTCCTATCCCTCCTCTCCTGCACAGCCCACATCCAACCCCTCATACGGGGGGCTACCAGTCATTATGGCTAATTTTCCGAATCCGAAGAGCTTCTGGTGAGGACGGCTTTAATAGGGGGAGCAATGCATTTCCAAGAAAAGGGTTTTGGCGTTGAGCCCACTCAAACAAGAAGCATGTGCTGCCTGTTGATTTAACACACTTCAAAGCTGAGCTGCGTGGTCCACGCATACCCTGCACTCGACCCAATCAACGACACAACAACGACAACCGTTAAAACGGCTAAAACAGGGTGCAAAATATTATGTGTGAGGGTTTTGCTGTGCATGAATATGGAGAGAGAGCATTAGGTCTTGGGGACTGGGGCAAGCACGTGTATATGTTTATTTGGTCAAGCCTGAAATTCTGGCATGTATCCTGAAGACTCCAAGCACGGGACACCTTAAACTAAACCTCTAGTCAAGCAGTGCAAAGTACACTAAAAATAGCACAGTAAAGCACAGTCACTTAGTATAGTGAATCTCATGAAAACTTCCTGATTTCCTAAGTAAAATGGCATGATATTACTGCATAAACACCAAAATAGTATCATTGCAAAATATTATAACTCTCATTATTGTCATAATATACAGTATATATATATAGACACACACACAGATACAGTAAAATAATAATAATAACAATATATTAAACTCTCTGTTGCTCTAATTCTACTCAAATTTAGTCAATTGAAATAAAAAATAAGAATTTTTAATTTGTGTTGAATTTTTGTTCTTTTTTCATAACGTTAAAATAAAGTAAAAATTACTCTTTTTATAATGCGAATAATCACTGAAATGAATGGTGATATTAAAAGTAATTGCCTTGAAAATATCGCAATAAAAAATTTAACAAAAAATATTTGTAGTCCACAATGTAGGCTGACTTTGTATGTGTAATTGTTATTTATGTATTTATTTGCTTGCTTGTTGGACTATAACATTTTCCTTACAGGTTTGTGATATTTAGACACCGGGACTTGTATAACAGTTAGTTATACAAGCATATTGGCTATTTATTAGTACTTATAAAGCACATATTCTGCATGACCATATTCTACATCCCTAATTCTACCCAATACCTAAACTTAACAACATCCTTACTAACTATTAATAAGCAGCAAATTAGGAGTTTATTGAGGCAAAAGTTGTAGTTAATAGTTAGTTAATAGTGAGAACTGGACCTTAAAATAAAGTGTGACCATTATCATCTTGAGTTTTAAAAGCCTCTACACCGGTGTGGCATCACTTTGACCGCTTACCCGTCTCTGTGACTGTGCAGGATCGATTTTGACTGGCAGGGCTGGCATCCCATCCAGCATCAACATCCTGATAGCACTGTTCCTGTGAGGGATAGCAGAAAAACAATGTTAGGCTTTAATAACTTCAAGTGTTAAATCACACTGTGTTGTTCTGCAGACTTTCATCAGCCGTAGTGAGGAACAGAGAAATTAAATGTGTTTTGGTATAACTGTGATGACACGACGGAGTAAAAACCTCTCAGCCTTGGATTTGTCTCACAGATCATATAGGAGCTGTGCTTAGATAGACTGTGTGAGGATAACAATAAACATATGTGAGAGAGCACGCCAGACGGTTTAATATGCATTAATATATCATTCTGAGAAGTGTTTACTATTAGTACTACTTGAGGTATTTTACAATGTTTTTCAAGATAGGAACAGATGCCTTGACTTGTGAAAAATCGATCTATCAGTTGTTATTTATCATTTTCTGTTTACTTCTCCAATTGTGAACACAGCAGCTTGAAAACAACTCACTCAAACATTGCCACGTAATCTTGTTTTAGATTCTTTTAAAGCAACAATCCTGAATTATGACATCTGGCAAGACATTAGTTACTTCATAAGGAATATTATAATGCATAAAACGTACATAATTGTATAGACATTGCCCATGCTTTAATATTCAGTTAAGATATCATTAAACATGGGTAGTTTCAGGAAAGGAAGGAACTATTATACAGAAGGATTTACTGCAGTAGTTAGACATTTTGTGTGTTCATGATTTGGCATGTGTGTCTGATTGTTAAAAAATGAGAACTGAAACCTTGCTATAGTAAATGAGATGTGAAATGTAATGTACTGAAAGTCAACAAATAGCTTCCAATTTCCAGACAGCAGGAAATAAAAGGTGTGAAATTTACACTAGCACAAATTACTAGAATTCAGATGGACAAGCTGTTATATTCACTACTACAGAATCACCCTCTGCTAGCAATTACTGATTCCCTGCTTTAGTAATGCCATTATAAATCTAGACATTTACTGGAAGGTAAAGGGTTAATGGCACTATTGCTCATTTTTGTCCGGATCTATTAATTGATAAATATATAAATATAAAAATATATAAGAGTTCAGATGTAAAAGCCTCTAAGGACGTCTGATGTTTTTCTTTAAAATTAGCATTTCTTTCTGGCTACTATGTATAGGTTTCTATGTAAGTACTGGAACTTCTGAATGGGTTGAGGCTGGAGTGGCAACATGAAAACCACTATTTTCTGTTTAAAACTTTCACATAGCATCTTTAGGTTATAATAACATTACAAATTCAAATCCAGATTTTGATTTTCAAAGATTTATTATAAAAACGGAGATTTATCCCCCCCCCCCCAAAAAATGCAATAAATCCATTGAATCAATATAAAAGTTATTTTTCATATTGAAACTGTTGAAAATACACAACAAAGTAAGTTGATCCGCATATGACAGCCTCTGAACTTGGTCAATACTAATCTTATTAATATCTTACGTTTCTATCTATTAAGTTCCCCACCGCATAAACCACCACAGGTTCATCAATGCCGTCAAAATTATTCATTTTTTAAGGTTGCACGATAAATCGCATGCGATTGTCATGCACATCTCGTCAGTAAAGCCGGTTCTGTGATTAGTAGTAAATCTCCATCACCTGCTTTCAGATGGAGCAGCATTTACTACACAGAGCTGTAGATCACTGACAAGCTATGCAAAATTGCATTCATAATTGAAGGCGATTCATCTTCGATTATGAACGCAATATTGCATAGCTTGTCAGTTACTGTTTACAGTGCGTTGAATGTTGCGCTGTGATTGGTTGAGCGGATGTATCGCATTATGCAGAGAAGGGAGACTGGTGTTTGTCATGGTTTGGAAAGATAGGGAGAAAACATGACAGAATAACACGGCGGATTTCGAATGTTGCGTAAAATTAAAAATGGACTTTTCAATACCGACCAGATACAATACTGATTTTGGAGGGAACTCAATTTTCAATCAAACTCTTTTAAATTTTTACAATAAATATATAAAATGGTTTGGCATAATATTTTATTAATATTTCTTTGAAACGCCATGTCATGGGGTGCAATTAACATAGAAAAAAAACCAAAACAAACAAACAGTATGTTATATCAGAGGAAACTTATGACAGATCCTTATGACAAATCTTGAGACTCCCCAAAAACTTTGATTTTAATAATTTATTAAATTAATTTATATATTATATAAAAATATATTACCTAAAATTGTTCATTCAGTTAAAAACTATATGACACTAACATGAACATAACACAAAGTGTACACTTTTTTAAGAAAATGGCAGATCAAATGTGATTTAAAATTTTTTTTTTACTTTTACTTTTATCTATTGTGAACACTCTTATTTGTCATTGACCTTAATCACATTTGAGGAAATTCTTAAAATAATTCTGATCCCACTGGCTATTGCTCCAACTTTATGAATTTAACTACAACTAACACTACAGGAATGAAGCACAGGCAGCTATGTGCTCACAAACTTGCATAAAGAGCATTCGGAAGTATTGCGTAAGTTTGAATGTTTCCTTGGTTTTTGGAGGTCATGGGGTTAGTCCTGTCTAACTCTGCAGTAGCTTACTGATAAACAGAGGAGGTGGATTATATCTGGAAATCACCTTATTTCTTCCTGTTACTGCATGCTTGCAGATTCATTAGAGAGACTGGAAACTGCTGACTGTTTTGACTTCTGTTGACCTGGTTAGTTGACCTTTCGCTCTATGTGTGTGTGTGTGCATGACTGTAATCCCTGGCAGACAGGATGTCAGAGGAAACGGGTGGGGTCTGAAGGGCTGTGCCCACTTAAAATCCCTGCTTCCAAATGCTGTCTATGTCCATGTGTTGCTAGGTTTTTCAAAACAGAGAACGCCCAAACCAACTTTAATGGCACCAATCTGAGGACACTTCACTTCCCCATAAATGTTCTTACCAAAGAAGCTCCACTTTAAAGCACTGCTCCACACCACACCCAGGTGATGATGGACAGCACCCCAATTTACATGTCTGTATGTACAGTAATACCTCATACAACATCTTTAAAACATCTGTGAGTTCCCGGATAAAGACATTAGAAATGTTTTGTTGCTTGGGGTTGGTCGGCCATTGTGGTATTTTATATTTCCTGTTATGATGTCTTGGTCTTTGTAATGAATGTCTTTACATATATCTGGTAAAGAAGATTTTCTTAGTCATTCTTAGTTATTTACATTAGTGACTTAGGATCTTAGGAAAGGTAATCACACCATTAAGAATGAAGATGTAGATGTCCAGACTGAGTTGCCTATACCTAGACAGCTTTTATAGCATCTAGTTTAGCGGGTCAGTTTTAGAGGAGTTTTGAACACTTTGTTTTCTCTAGTCAAGCTGGTTCTAACTGCTCAGACTTTTCAGAACAACTGACCAACTAGCTAAAACTAGCTTGGCCAGGTTGGGAGAAAAGCTTAACCAGTTTAACCCAGCTGTGTCCAGCTTAAACCAGCCAAGACCAACCAACCAACCAGAATATAAATAATCAATCAATACTGAAAAATAGCTTTATCTAATTTCATATTTGTGGTGGTATTAAAGTATTTGATCATTAGCTTAGCAACATGCTAACATCAGAATCTATTGGAATAGGTCATTATCCATTATTTCAATATTCTCCAATATGTGTGTTTGCTATTAGGCCATCAACATGCTTGTGTCAATATCTTTTGAAATATATATTTTTCAATATCTGTGTGCACTATTAAAGAATTTGGGCTATTAGCTTAGAAACATGCTAACCTTAAAATCTATTGAAAACAAATAGGTTTTGAAATATCCAGTATTTTTGTGTGCTATTTAAGTATTGGTCTATTAGCTTTAGCAACATGCTAACATCAGAATCTATTGGAAAATGATCCTTTATTTCAATATTATCCAATACTTGTGTGTGGTATTCGGGCATGTAGTAGCATGCTTAGTAACATGCTTTTGTCAATATCTATTGAAATATATATATATATATATATATATATATATATATATAT